GGCTGAGGAATTGAAAGATGCCACTCAGGGGAGTTGTAGCTCCCAATCCTGCCATCCAGCCTGGAAAACAAACTCAGTTTGGCGTGATGCGCAACAGTGGGCATGTCGACAAGCTATTATATAATCAGAAACAATGTCTACAGGATGCATGTTGATATGTTACGTTAACATAGCAGAGGATGTGTGTTAATGGATGGTTTGATGCTCCTTTCTATTCTCATTCTTCTAACCTTGTGAGCTGTGTGGGGATCGATGTTGCTTTGACACATGGCCACCAAAAGGGATCGATAGTTGTGACGATTTGTGCATTTTTGCTTATGTTTGCATGATCAAAGGTGCAATCATGTGCATTTGCTTGGTGGGTGGAGACATTATGATTTGGTATCGTTATCGGCAAGCCAACATCTATCAACATCTGCTTGATTCTTGTTTGTTCACTTACCCCAGGTGCCGTGGCGGAAGTCTTGACCTTGCGCTACAGCGAAGCCGCTCTGGCCGGCCCTGGGAGAGGAGACGAAAGGAAGGGAGCATTCCCAGTTTTTCTGGGGGATTCTGTGCGATTTAAATTTCAACCTGAAAGCTAGGGGAGTGCTTGAACCAGAAGGAAACAAACAGTTCTCAGGTTCTGTATTGTTGTCAAAGAAGCGCGGTGTCTTTTCTGCATGTGCAGGCTGAAGCAGCCAGCAAGCGTGCTTCAGGCAACGACTATTTGATCACCAGTCCAATGAGTGAACATAACTCAAACATACTCAAACCTTTTTTGATGCCATGCCGGACAAACTTTTGTTCAGTAGCGCGCGTCTTGATCATGCTGTACAGTATGAATGTGGAAAACAGATCACTAGTCACAGATCAGATTCCGAAGACTCGTTTTTGCGTGGCGTAGCAGCGTAGCGCTCTGTCAAGCAAAGCTGTTGCAAATCGCCTTCGACACGTTTGCAAAGCTGTTGCTTTTGTTAAACGCGCAGGTGCTGTGAGCAATGTGTCGGGACCTGAGATGATAAGCTTTCATGAGAGTGCATGGATGCTGCAAATTCAGGCAGCGAGCAGATGAGGCCTGCTTGAAGGATGCTGAACAAAAAAGGGAGTTGCAAAATAAGCTATCGTAGTAGTGTAGATGAATGTAGATGAACATAAGCTATCTCATGGCTCATTTACGAACGAGGAACGAACTTTGCCGAAAGAAACGTGTTTGAAACTGACCAGTGAGACCGTTTTGGCAGGCAAAGGTACCCTCTCGGCCGGTCTGGAGACCTAGTCCAAAAGAGACAAACGCCGCAGACATCAAGCCATCAGCGCTGGAGTTGCTGGCGGTTTCAAGCGATTCCATGCGATCGCAGTGGTCAGTCCAACATTGCGGGCACTAGGATGCACTAGGTGGACCAAGCTAAATTTCAGCTATGCAGATGAGATGTCAGATACATCATGATACATCTATTATGGAACATAGTTGCAAAAAAGGTGCTTCCTTTTGGCATGCCTTTTCTTTCTCGAAAGCCTCTTTCGGCACATCCAAGAGGCGCTTGGGGACCTTGTGGTGACCCCCGACATTTACTCCATGACACCCAATGAGCCCGGGGCCAAGGGTTTTGCGATGAAGCCGGCGAAACAACGCCGCAGGTCATAACAGGTTTAAACAGACCGTGATTTACTCGGTTTGACACGATGTTTCCAAGCCTTTCAGTTAGCATGTGGCAGGTTGTAGGCATATGAAGGTTCTACTGTAGCATGTTTCAAAGCCGGCACCGCACCGCTCAGTGTGGCATGTTCGAGGCTGCGGCAGGTCCGAGATCTCACCGTGCATCGGCCCAAGGTGGGCGAGGCGGGTGGCCCGTTCGTGGGCGTACCGCAACAAGCGCACCAAGCGACCAAATCGAAGGTCATTACGTTGATGGTCGTTGATTTCATGGTACGTTGCAAAATGGAATTTTCCTGCAAAGAGCGATTGCTCATCGATGCTTTCTGGACCATTCTCACAGAACGGATGAGAATTGAATCTAGAAGTGATCAGGAGTCCCAGTGTGCTTACATCACTGCTCTAATTTCTTGCCATCGTTGACATCAGCTTTCGTTGATTCGTTGGCTGTGTCAGGTCACATTTCACGGTGAAATTGACTTGCTGAGCAACCGTTCCATCCTTGAGGCAAGCGCAAAGAAGCGAAACGAGCGCACGGTTGGCACGTCGACCGAAAGAGACCGAAGGATACCGCAGCTTCGGGTGAAGTCGAAACGGCCAGGAGCTCCCAAAAGTGGTGCGCCTGGAGCCCGGCGAGGCACGGTTTTTTCGCAACAAACAAAAGGCCATGACTCGTCCGCGCCATTGGCTCGCCGCATCTAAAGACTTTCAACATCACAAAATCTCACTGGGATTCTCCGATCTTTGATCTTTAATGGAATTTTGTATCCAAAGATCTTCAAAATCATTAAACAGGAGAGGACAAGCATCAATAAACAACAAGAAACATCTTCCCCCAAATTATCTTTTCCCCCAAAAGGACATGATTCTGGGTGCGTTTATTAATCAGAGGACCACATGAACATGGCCGACACAAATGCGATGTCGGCCAGTGCCACGCAGTGCCACGCAGTGATTGGATGCATCCGATGTCATAGGAAGACTCGAAGGAGTATGACCTCATTCACAACTGTTGGGCCAAAAGATAGGGTTAGGAACCCCTCTGATGAAAATGCATGTGCCAGCTTCGCCCGAGGTTGTCTTGTACCCTGACAGCCAAAATAAGCCAAACTCTCAGAGTATCAGAATTTTGCATATTTTTGCGTTGCAACGCCTCGTCTTGTGCTTCTGTGCACCCAGAAGCTTGATAGCTGGTCTCCCAGCAGACCAGCGTTTTCATTCGTTTTCCTTCAGGCCTTCTGAGGGTGAAGGGCTTAATAGGTGCGCGCTTCGCTTTCCCGAGCCAGCGTTCGCAGCATGGCATGGACTGAACTCTCCTTGTAGGCCGGCGACGATTACGCTCTTTGGTTGCTTGCCTCCACAAGCAGCTGACTTCACTGACGAGGAAAGCAAAGCCAGGCGTGAGGCGGTAGGACTAGTTGCCGTGTTGGACAGAAGGCTTTAGCGCCGCAGAGAGAGAGAGAGAGAGAGAGAAAGGCCACTATATACATGTTGGAGACAGTGAGAGGGAGAGTGATGGAGAGGGAGAGCGTGTTAGAGAGAGAGAGAGAGAGTGCGAGAGAGGAGAGGGAGAGAGAGAGAGAGAGAGAGTGCAACCCATGAACACCTTGATTAATCAAACCTCAAGACCTTTGGCGGTTGATGATGCTCACTTGTGATATCTTGTGATAGCCCAAACAGTGCCTCTCTTGAATCTGAGACATAGTCTGTTTTCGTTGTGCTGTCCAATGCTAGTTGTGTGTTGTCCAAGTTTAGAAAAGTTGAGAAGAAGTCTATCTAAACACATCAAACATATATCCTTTTTCACCTCGGCTCTTCACCAACTCACCAGTTGTACTCCAAACTTTTGATGGTCACCACAGACAAGAGACACTTGCAAGGCCATCATGGTTCCCTTTAGGCCATGCAGCCATGCGGAAGAGCCAACAAATTGTTGGATTCCATGACATCCACAAGTCTTTGTGCATGTGCAGAAGGACCCAGAGAACCAGGGAAAATATTGTATTTCTTAACAGACTTGCCCATCCTTTTTGTGCTTAGAATATCTTACAATCACGTCAAAAGAACAGAAGCGATCACAGCTGCAGCCAACCTGCGAACAAAAAGACAATAACTCCACATTCTTTAGACCTAGAGTTCACATGATGAACCCATTCTGACTGTGTGTTTTTTTCTTTTTATGGTCGGAGATCCGGTCGTGTGTCGGTCTCGTTCCAGGTACCGGCATCGCATTGCAGAAATGACGGAGTCCAAGGGGGCCCATTTTCTGGACTACGACTGTGACAAGGGCTTGTGGCAGTTCTGCACCTTCGATGCAGGTACCGGCCGTCCGCAGGTCCCGGCAGTGCTTGCAGAGGTTCGATGGCACACGTGGTGCCCCCTTCGTTTGGTGGTTTATACGGGGATGGGTCAAAAGACCTGGAGCTTCAATCCGTGGGCCCGGCTGACCTGGCTGGTAGGTCAACCGGTCGGTCTCCTGGTTTTGGTCCACAGCCATATAAATCCCCATTTGTCTAAGACATCTTGGGGTGCCTGTGTCATCTACTCTGAAAGCACTGTAGATTCGATGTAGGAGCGGGCGGCTCTTTCAGAAGGGCCTGAGACGACCAAAAGCCGCGTGCTGATCTCCACCAAGGTGTAGATCACTTCTAGTGAGAGGATGAGGCTGATGAGGCTATGCTAATGCAAATGACTTGACTTTGTACCGCCAACCAGAATCTCTCAAGCCATAAGATTTGGTTTGTAGAGTGATGGTGTTGCATCCGCATGAAAAGAGGCGGATCGGGGTGTGCCGCACACGGCATGGGATCGGTTCCGCGCATCGCATTTGACTCTCAACGGCACGGCTGTCCCGGTGTGTAAGAGGAGATGCTGAGGAGATGCTGTCTTGGGAGCGTGAAAGTTAAACTGTGCCGAACTATTTAGCCTGGAAGAATTTGCACCACCGACACCACAAGCGCACCCAAACAGGAACCATGATACGCGATGCTTTTTGCCAAGAACAAACAACTCCATTTTTCAATGCTCACTAGCAAGGGCATTAGCAAAGCAAAGATGCTTGAAGAGTTTGCCTTTGCGCTGCATGGCATCTTATGGAGGAAGAAGAATTTTAAGCAGCCTACGTGCAGAAATGCTTTGCGCAGTTAACCAGACAGGTCGCACATTTAATAAATTCCGCCACCGGGACTCGAACCCGGGTCGCTCGGGTGAGAGCTTGACGTGTGTGGACAGAGACATTGCTTAGAAAGCACCGTTTCTTGCAACATCGCCAGGCTTCACATGGTTTCACAGGTTGTTTGCCGTGCCGTTAGCCTTTTGCTCAAATCATTTTTGTGCCCAGAAGGTTCCAGATCCGTTTCTCGCCATGTCCTTGACTCACGGCGGCCTTCCTAGCCTGCTGCCCGCCAATGTGCTAGCGGAGCTCAAGCAGACTGCAGAGAAACTTTGCGCACCAGGTGCTGCACCGGAGAATTGTGTGAATCATACTTGGACATCTTGGACCTTCCAAATCTTTGTGCACAGTTTCTGAAATGTGCTTCAAGAAAGCCAACAACTATAGAAAGACATGGCCGCAACCAAACAAGACAAAAACAAACACATATTCCAGGAAACTCCTATTGCAATATCCCTATGAAAGGTCTTAGTAGATTCTACCAAACCTAGTTTGCCATATTTAAAAGCTCCCCCCTTTCCCTAACCCGCACCCCTGGAACGGGGGAACCCACCCTCTCGGCCCCTCGCTGACTACAGACAGCGGTCCACTCGCTGCAATCAACCCGGACGTTCCTGTACCTGGACAACTCCTGTACCTTTGCCTTACCCTACTCTTGCCTATTTAACGTACAAAACTAAATTAATGCTGCTTCACCCTTGCTTTTCAAAGATGGGAAGAGTACAATAGAATGGGGTAGAGTAGCGCATAGAGCCAGGAAACGCACCGTAGACCAGGCTTCTACTTTATTTTGCATTGATTTGCATTACCCTACCCTGTGCCCACTCTGCTGTTGGTATTCCACTTGCTCCACATTTATATTTATTTGCTGTAATCTGACAGTGAAGTTTTTAGAATAGAGCAGAGCAGCACAGGAGTTGGAACGAGTTGAGCTTGCAAGCTGAATGGATAGGTGTGGGCTTGTAGGCAAGGGGTAGAAAGCTAGAAGACACACCTCAATATAACTAGCACGCAAACTGTTTTCGGAACTCCTTTCCTATACACCCCAAAGCTTTGCAAACAAATGCACATCCTGGTTTTATATTCTTATCTCATTATCGATTGCCCATTGCCCTAGCATTTGTGACATGTGTTTCCCTCTGTCTCTTCTTCTTTCTTTGTAGAGCTTTCAACTACTAGCTTTAATGTTTGACATCCTTCTTTTGCTTTCCTTTCTGAATATATACTCGCAGTATAATCTTTATGGCAAGATTGCTATAAGCACGGGCCCGCTGGGCCAGCACGGCTGTGTTGAGAGAGGCAAAGGCTTTTTAGCCTCTGATGAGAGTGCCGGGCCCTGGCTGCGCGCGGGTCATGCCGAGGCTGCGAAGATCCCAGATGCTTGGCCAAAGAGCGGTGTTAGACTCATGGGAGTGTGGGCCGTGCTAGCACACAAGATGGAAAGGAGCTACAGTACTTCAAACTCTGTTAGATCTGATAATTGCACTACTACAAGTACCTGCTGTTAAGTCGTCTGGTCTTGTAGAAGGTCGTTTGGATGCTGCGTTTACAATGGGGTTAGATGCAAGATGGCAATATAACTGGAAGAGTGTCAGGTCTCAGGTCAACAACATTGTTTGGATGCTGCGTTTACATGCGGTTTGGGTGCAAGATGTCAATATGATTGGAATATAAGCTTTGGGGTAGGTGGATACCTCGACTCGCGTGGCACTCGCGTCAGGTTCAAAAAGATTCGCACGGCACTCGCGCCAATGAAGCCATGTTTAAAGTTAATTTCATGTGCTTAAATCAATCTAGATAGACCGCTGACTGTTTGAATCTAGATAGACCCGGGTGACTAAACCCCGGCGCTTGTAGTACAATGAGTGAAGTAGGAGGCAGTGGGCAGCGGCAAGTCTGGGAACTTTGCAAATGTGTTCTGGTTAAGGATGTGATCGAGAACAGGGCAGCCTACCGAGCCCTATGCTTCTCCTCACCAGGCTTGAGTGAACACATTAGCGGGGTGATTCTCCACTGGGAGACCTTGATGCAAGATGATGCAGACGGCAAGGCCATGGTGGATATCATCAAAGGGAACGGCATGATTCCCGGAATCAAGGTGGACAAAGGCTACAACAAGAAGGGCATGTGGGGAACACCAGTCGGTCCTCTTGGGCACCCGGAGGTGGCAACTGTGGGATTGGATGATCTTCAGCAAAGGTGCCAACAGGCTTATCAGAAGGGTGCCCGCTTTGCCAAGTGGCGCAACGTGCTGCAGCTGGACCCTGCGAAAGGGATGCCGACAGAGTTGGCAATCGCAGATACGGTGCACACCTTAGCCCGCTATGCCTCGATTTGCCAGAGCGAACGCTTGGTACCTATCGTGGAGCCTGAAATTGTTCCCAATGGCAACCCATTTGCTAATTGTATATCCAACTTTTGATTTTTTTGTATGTTCCGTTATTGTTGACATTCAATGTCCATTTCGTAGGCAACTGTGGCCGTGCCGATGACATCAGGCAAACACGACATCTATTACTGCGCCCAGATGACAGAGAAGGTTTTGGCAGCGCAATTCAAGGCATTGGCAGACCACCACATCTACTTGGAGGGTGCTGTCCTGAAGCCCAACATGGTCAAGAACGGCTTGGAGGGGCCCAAAGCTAGCGCCGAGACCATTGCAACCCTGACCTGCCAAACTTTGCTGCGCACAGTTCCTCCTTCCATGCCAGGCATTTTTTTCTTGTCCGGTGAGACAGCATTGAATGAAGACAACGAAGAAGAAGCAACCATCAATTTGAGCACCATGAACAGTCTTTTTGCCGGCAAGCTGCCTTGGCATTTGTCATTCTCTTATGGCAAAGCTTTGCAGAAGACCTGTATTGTCACCTGGCTGGGCAAGACTGAGAACAAGGAGGCCGCGCAAAAGGCCCTGAAGGCACGAGCCAACGCGAACTCTGACGCCGTTTTTGGCAAATACAAGCCAGGCAGCTGCGCTAGTGTCGGCACTGACGGCAATGTGATGCAGGCAGCGGGGCCTTACTGAGGCTTGTGATCCCTGTGAGGATTGAACGATAGTGAGGATGTGACTGACATGAATTGCACGTCAAGATAAGGTCGAAAATCACAAACGTCCAGAAAGTGGTGGCTTTGTTTTGTTGTTTACCAACTCAGAACAACTCAGAAAGACCGTCCTCACATGGACCCAGTGCCTTGGCTCTAACAGAGCTCGGTTTTGTTTTCGCCTGGTGTGATCTGGGTGTTTGGTCGGGCACTGTTGCTTGACCACACCTGAGATGCACCAGGAATTCATATTTGAGATCAGTAGATTTTCGTGCAGATCACTTGAGGGGTGCTATCCATTTTTTGCTCGTGGCTTTGTGCCAAGATCCTCTTCCTGGAACGCACACACACCGTGAAGTATTGTGAAATCACGAAGCACATTGTTTCCACGCAATTAATTCAGAATAATCCAGATATGGGTACCCATATATTCAGATCGGAAAGGACGACCAAGTCCATCTCTTGACCCAAGGGAACACTGTTTCGGTCGGTGTCGAATGTCATTTCCAGCAGGAAGCAGAGATCTGTGAGCTGAATTCATGAGGTCTAACAATCTGACCTCAATGTTCCTCACGTTTGAGAGGTCATTGCTATTTCAAAAAGGCTTCACATGCCGCTGAACATGTTCTTGTCAAGCACGACATACCACTCTGAGAGCTTCAACTTGGGCCAACTTGCCTTCCACTCAAAACAAACCTAGCTCAGTTTGCCCAGCGGTCTTCAGCATGGCCGTGGCTGTTCCCCTCGCGAATGGCCGGACCGAGTTGTTCGTCGACGATGAACCTCGTTTGGGTCAGCGGCTGGTGAAGGACGTCACCGCAGCCGCCCAAGCAGCGATCAACGCAAAGGGGAGCTTTAGCTCCTCGGAAGAGAAGCGGTGAACCGAAGAGGAACTGAGAGTGTCACAGCGGCCATTCTGGTGGATTTTCAGGTCACAGAGTCACAGCCGCCTTTTTTTGTGTATCGCTACTAGTAGTAATGCCCTTGTTACTAGTAGCGATGCACTTGTTACTAGGTTCTTCTTGTGGGACCATGGGACCGCACTCTTCCAAAAGACTGAAGACTCGACGCTCAAAGACTTATGTTTGCAGGACGCACTTGACGAGACACTGTACCACCGACGAGACAGATTCAATCCTAGCAGCATTTCCAAGGAGTCTCACCTTTGCTTACTATCTTGTTTCTAGAACGCAATATACCTATTAAATCCTATTAATGCGTTATAATTATCCATTATAAATACAATTTTCGACATTTGCCTAGAGCCGGGCTCTTGTTCTGCACTATTTCTGAGACATGGTTTGACGCAACTCTGGTGGGGCAATCTCTTGGCTTGATTTGTCAATGTCACTCGTTTTCCACCGTCCAAGAATCTGGGGAGAGTGATTCTTCTAAACTAAACACCTCCCCAAAACAGGAGTTGGGTCTAGAGTCTAGAATTATGAAGGAACAAGAAGGAGACTTTGCTTCTGAATTGCTCGAGTTTGAACACGCCTGAAATCAAACAATTTGTTGAAACGATCATGTATGACTCTACCTGTGCCGCACCACAAAAAAAAACACATCGGCACAGACCCTTTTAATGGATCACGAATTGCCAAACACAAAGCGGAAAGCAACCTGTAATGTCCATGAACACCCATTTTCACAACCCACTTGTGACACCATGAGACCACGTGACATCACAGAACGACACTTTCACTACCCCACAGATCACCATGAGACCATCACGCTGACCGCCTTGCCAAACGCACGACCGCCTTTCGCTTCCCTGTGCTTCCAGCACTGCGGCCGCCATCAAAGCACAAGAAACATATGACAAGCGATGGCCTCCAACCTGCTAGCGATGGCCTCCAATCACATAGAAAAGACATTCACACATTGGGGTGGTGTACCTAATCTTTCTTGGAAATGTTTGATGCTTTCTCAACATCGTGTGCATTGATTGACATATTGCGTGAACATTGTCAACAAAATACACCTTGGAAGCAAGTACTCCAACAGCAAATCCCAGTGGCATTACATTCAGCACTTAATAGAACGCTACTAGTAGCTCCTGGCCTTACTACTAGTAGCAAAGACGCTACTAGTGACAATGCACCGTGGAACCCAAATCTCAACGGCACAGTGACGCAAAGTGCACACCGTGCCGTCAAGCACTGTGCCTATGAAGTCAAGGCAGTTGCGGTGGGTGCACATTCAAATATAATCCCAAACAACCCATCAATAACTATTTACCTAGGTTGACCCTGAAAACACCTCAAAAACCACACCAAACGTAGACAAATATTCCACATATATATATATATAGTTTGGGAACTATACACCTGTCTCGTTAAGGAATCGATCCAGGAGCAAGAAGCTACTAGGAGCAAAGGGCACCGCTACTAGAAGCTACTAGTAGCTCCTCGCCTTGCTGCTAAAAAGCAAGAAGCTGCTAGGAGCAAAGGGCAGTCTGAAATAGATTGTCTTAGAACATCTTGGACCTGCTTTTGACCGCTGCCAAGGCCTGTGTTTGGCATCCCCTGTGATCGCAGCGCTCAAAGACTTGTCGCCAGAGGCGGTGGATTGGAGCAAGACAAGCGTTTTCTTCACAGGAGAGCGGCCCGGACAGTGATTTAATCCGATTGACTCACGTCTTGGTTTGCGCATTGTCCTTTTGTTTCAAAAATGCAAATTGCAATTCTTGCCCCATCTGAGGAATTTGGGAGCCAACAAGTCTTACGCGGACGCCCAAGACGCCTTCTGCAGGAAGTGTGGCGTTCAGCCTCTCAGCCTTGACAAATGGTTCAAGAGCGGCCAAAAACTATTGACAGCCACGTTTGTTGACACAAGTTCCAATAGTGACAATAGTGTATAAGGGAGAACGAGAGAATGTCATCAATGTTTGATCTTTGTATATCTTTGTTAAACAGGAGAAAGCTTCCGCCAAGAGCTATAGCCTCGCTGGTTTCAATCTCAAACTTATTCTTGTACCACTATAGCTACTGTCAAGAGTTGTTGAAGTCACCAGATCAGCTCCCCCGTTCAGAGTTCGTTCGATGCTGGTCAGATCTTCTGTGTTTTGCATGAGTTTTCCTCACGCGCCGTGTATGACGCAGACCGTGCAGTTTCACGTGCAACACACTCCGTTCAAGAGCAATGTGCAGCATGAATCAGGAGAATAGAGATCAGAGAAGGGAATCTGCAGCATCAAGAATTGAAGCATATTGAAGCGAAAGCGTCGGAAAGTAATCATGCCGACTAGTCACCTTCCAGAGACAAGATTCCGGAGAAGCAAGCACTCACAGGGCCTTGCAACAACCTGGAGTGGTTTCAGGGCAAGCTACACGTAGTCGCACCTGCTGCATCCTACAAGAAAGAAGAGATGCTGTCAGGTTCACCTTACAAACTGTTTGGCCAAGATTCTCAAGGTGTTTGCTTGGATCTGGAGTGAGAGCCTTTTGAATGCGTATGCTTCCGCATATGCTTCCGCCATGTTTTGTCCTTTTACAAACATGTTTCTTTGGAGAGGAAACAGTCCGTGCGGTCCTTTCCCGCCGTTGACCCGTTGGAGTCTGTTTTGCTTGTCGCTGGTGCTCTGGAACAAACGACAAGCCCAATGCAGTATATAATGCACTCAACACACATAACATAACCGACATCTCCCTGTGTTGCTTTGTACCTCCTCATCCATACCGATGTAAATCTCGATATCCATGCGAGATCATGCAAAGCGTCTGCACATTTGAGCATTTGGATCATGTTTGTGAGTGCGGAAATCAATTCGTTTTTTCTTTCTGTCCTTCTTGTTCGCCATTCAAGGAGTATAAATCTCGTAGTGCTCCCACCCATGCGGTCGCCCCAGGAACATCTACTATCCGATTTTGCGACCGCTCTTCAGCACTGGCTCCGGACTCCCACCCTTCGCTGTGAAGGAGGCCGCTGCTGCCTACGAGGCCCTTCTGAGGAACCATCCATCCATCGACAATTCAGGCAAGATGCCATCTTTCGAGTCTCAACTCCGGTCAGAGCTTTTTGGGTTGCTTTTCGTTGTGCGACCCGGTTTGGCCTGTTGACCTGGTAATGGTAGTTCTTGAACTTCCCACACTCCAGACGTAAGCAACCTAGCCCATTCAATCGCACTTGGAGCTACAAGAATTTGTGGCTTGGCGAAAGGGGAAAGCCTACCGGTCCGGTAAACTGGCCGGTCCGGCGTTTAGGACCTCTTGCTGTTGGGTGCGGGAGAAGACGGCCACTGCGGCTCCCTTCATCCCGAGAGCGACCAGGTCAAAGCGGAGGGCACGGTGATCAGCATCTGCCTCTCAGCCCAGGAAAGTGAGCAAGTTTTGCCTCTCATGTCCACTTCGGTATCCACCCCAAACCGCCATGGCGCTACGGTGCGCCATTCCTCGGTTTGCTTTTTCTCCCCGGCTTGATTTGGAGGCCAGCCAGGCAAGAACCAGATCGCTGTCTCCATGGATGTGATGTGTGCTGCCAAGTGCCTTGGCACGCGGTTCCACGCAGAACGTGGCGTGCGGCTTTTCATGCTGCACAGGTCCAGGCCCGTACGATCGAATGCACAAGACTTGAGCACTTTCTGTAGTCTTGGTATGTCCCCTCTCACTTTCCTGAAAGAGAACACGATCTTTTGGTCTTTTTTGGACTTGAGATGACTTGAGTACACCTACTCTTTCGCACAAGAGCACATTCTTTCCACAAGAATCTAAGCAATTGTGTGTACGTGTTGTGCTTTCGAACCTGTGTCGGCCGCCCCAAGGAAGGCCATTGTGCTTGCCAGAGGTGCAAAGCAGAAAGACACCGTGCGCCGTGCTTTGTCGGGTGTCCACGGTCTCTATGATTGCCCGGTGGGCTTGGTCAAGGCCATTCTCCTTTTGGAAGAACTTGTTCATTTTCTTACACAGCATTGGATGGGTACAGGTTGGAAGATGTGTTTCCTTGAAGCCCCTTCTCGCACCAGGCCCAATCAACCAGTTGGTTGGTGGACAAAGCTGCGTTCGACAACTTTGATAGGACAGGGTGACAGGGCGGCCACATCGGCTTCAAGTGAGCTGAGTTCATTTTGTATAGCGTCCTTGCTCCTAGTAGTAAGGCCAGGAGCCCCTAGTAGCTTCCTGAGTTTTAGTGACAGGATTTATAAAGAGGTTGACTTGTGTTTTGCTTGCGCAAGCAAATTCCCTTGGGAGTCTGTTGGAGGGGATATCTTAGTATAGGATAGTATAGGCTTCTTGCGTAGACACCCTTTTCGCAATGTTGATTGCTTATGAACTTATGATCGCAGTGTCTTGGGACAGAGGCTCAGTTCAGAGGGAGAATGACCAGTACTGCAGCAACATCATCCAGACAGGCGGCAGCAGCAGCAGCAGCAGCAGCAGCACTGCAACAGTAGGCGTGGGAGAAGGAGTTGAGTAGGAGTAGGTGTAGTAGTTAGCAGTACCAGTGCTAGTAGCAGCAATAGCAGCAGTGGTGGCAGTAGTAGTAGTACGGTAACGCGTTTTAAATATATGGTGGCCTGGCCAGAGCAATCGGCTCCGGAGGTAGTATAAAATACCTGTTCCCACCGTATATTTAAAGGGTCTGGCCGGGCCAGAGCAATCGGCTGGAGGTAGTATAAAGTACTTGTTCCCCCCATATATTTAAAATGTAATCCCTGTTGACATTTCTTTTTCGAAAAGGGAGAGCTTGAGGCCCTTACAGAGAGGCCATGTTGTAACGAGGCAGTTTTTGGCACCTACAGAACCCGATTTTTGTAGAGAAAAAACTTTATGCTTTCTGCCCAGCAACTAGGTCGATCTATGTTTCAAACACTCTCACAGGAAGTAGAACTCATCAAGGACTCTTACTACTTTCAGGGCTGCAGGTTGTATGGGGAGGTGCCACACCACCAAATCAACACCACCAGGGCCGCGTGGACCACCAAGACCAATTGCACCACCAAAACCACCACAACCACCAAGAGTAGACTCCACAATCACCAGGACCACCAAGATCGCCTGGACCACCGGACCCAAGGCCACCAGGACCACCAAGACCACCAAGAGCACGACCAACACCGCCTAGACCGCCACAATCACCACCAAGACCACCAAGACTACCACGACCACGGAGACCACCAAGACCGGACCACCAAGACCACCAAGGCCACCAGCAGTAGTAGTAGCCGTAGTAGTAGTAGCAGTAGTAGAAGTAGTAGTAGTAGTAGTAGTAGCAGGAGTAGTAGCAGTAGAAGTAGGAGTAGTAGTAGTAGTAGTAGAGCGGTGGTGGTGGTGGCGTTTTAGTTCCACATCGAGGACACCAGATAACATGCCCAGCGTGGGCGAATCAGATCCGATCCGATCCGAAAGGGAAACGCTGCATCGCGCATGCTCCACGTAGGCATGCTTGAAGAGCCAATACCTCACGTAAGCGCATGCTGTGGTGGCGTAGGCCTATGCGCCCATGTGTTTATAAGCTGGTCGGAGCTTGAAGCTTGACACAAAGGGAACCATGTTTCGATTCGATGTAAGTGTAATCGCGATGAAACTGAGTTTCTGATAAAAACTAGCATGGTGAATATATACTCAAGACCTGAAGTGAAAAAAGAAACCGAGGCGCCTTGAAAGCCGGATTCGTCCAGTCTCGAGTGACTCTCAAACGACCCCAGGATGAGGCTTCCCAAATACTTTACAATAACACATGCACAAGTCAGTTTGATGTGGTACTGGAAAAACACCACATAGATAACATATGATAACATGGCAATTTCCGTTTTCGTACGGTGCTTGGCCCAGCTTGAATGGGATGCATGTTGAATCGAGACATGCTCGTCGAAACATGGGTCGGGAAGTCCCAAAAAGGACGGCATGCTTTAGTGTCCAAACGGCATCAGAGAATCAAGCGTCCAAATTTGGTGCCTTTTTGTCCGGTCCGATGTTTTTGGAGCACCGCTATTGTGTTGAATTATGGTTTTTTACTGAACAATGTTTGCCAGAAGTTAGGCCATTTCAAGACCAAGGCTATGAACTCAAACAGCCCTTGACAATCGGTGACCTCGAAATACCTCGAAGCTGGATGACAGGACCTCCACACTGCATGGTGGACTCCCCAGTTTGCTGCCCTGTGATCGCCTGGCCGAGCTGAGGGAGACTGCCACCAAGCTTTGTGCGCCAGGCCGAAAGAAAGCGGTTTGTAGACTCTTGATTTCTTCTCCCTAGTAGTTTCTTGTTCCGTTCGTAGCGAAGGCCTCCAACCATCTCCAACCTAATAGCGATTGCCTCCACCTAGTAGCGTCCTTGTTGCATCTTGTTAGCCCCACCCATATTACATATGAAGAGGTTGTTCCATTCGATTGGAGGGTTTAACTAATCAAGAGTCGACATTTCTTTAAAAAGCGCTGAGCCGGGTATTTCTGAGAACTTCAAGCAGCATGGCCCCTGGCAAATGTGGCTACCGTTATAACTCTGTTGTCCAAGGTCTTGCTGAATGAATAGTAATGAAACAACATCTTAAAACCTGGCGCAAAAATAGTTGCGAAGAAACAGGAAATGTGACCGTCGACCAACAAATTACCGTCACACACGAAATGCTGCGCCATTTCACCGCGAAAGGCAAAATGAAATGAGCCAAGGCCCAATGTGGAGGTGAAGTGTTGCTTTTCAGGGAGCTCTTCAGAGCCCTAATTAGAGCAGTCCTGGTCTGTAGATTCCGGAAAGAGACCATTAACGGCAACAAACGCATCTTTGCGGCGAAGAATTACGTAGTTTCAACCGCTCTCCCCAAACCAGGCCTAAATTTCTTGCCGAAAGGAACCTCCAAGTAAGGTATGGTCACGTGATAAGACCTGCTCCTTGTTTTGGCGCGAGCCCGCTGTGTTTCCCATCTAGACAGAGCACCAGAGCACCAGAAGTGGTGTGTTGCGTACGGTTCTGCGGGCATTCGCGGTTTCGATCGGTCAGATGTTTTTTCCGAAGACGGAACGATCGGGGTCGAGGGGTCGCCAAAGCGGTGGCCATCGACAGGCAAGGGTTTCTTGGCGGCGGACGAGAGCGCTGGGCCTTGGCTACGTGCAGGGCATGCAGAAGCAGCCAAAATCCCAGAAGCTCACCTGCACTTGACTACTTCAATTCAATTGGTTAGGATGAACTCAAAAGCCAATTAGTTTTCTATATGACATGAGTCTAAATGTGTTTCTTGCTGTGACCCCGGCTCTCTTTGCAGCCCAACGTGAGTCCTTTGGTTTTCTTTTCCATCGTTTTTCGCTCTTCCCTCCTCGACATTCCGTCGGATTTCGGAGCTCAGGATTTGATCGATAACCGGGCGGCCTACCGGGCCCTATGCTTCTCCACACCAGGCTTGAGTGAACACATCAGTGGGGTGATTCTCCACTGGGAGACTTTAATGCAAGAGGATGCAGATGGCAAGGCCATGGTGGATATCATCAGAGGGAACGGCATGATTCCCGGAATCAAGGTGGACAAAGGCTACAACAAGAAGGGCATGTGGGGAACACCAGTCGGTCCTCTTGGGCACCCGGAGGTGGCAACTGTGGGATTGGATGATCTTCAGCAAAGGTGTGCGCAAGCCTACAAGGACATCAACGCCTCAACGTGAGATAGACCTCAAGTGATCTATAGCATCCTTTCACACGCCTATGGGTACTGTTGCTGCAGGTGACCCCGTGTGCATTCTTCCAGGGATGCGAAATAGGTCACTTATGTCACTTTGACTCCTTAGCTACATTGAACATGGACGGCTCACGGAGCCCTTTACACCACTCCTTTGCAACCTAGGTCATCCTAGTCTGCGGTAACACCTTGCAGTGGACGTTTCTCTCTGTTTACGCCCTCCAGTCGACCCCTTCAGCCAATCGCGCAGGAAGGAGCGCGATTTGCCAAGTGGCGCAACGTCTTGCAGCTGGATCCAGAGAAAGGCGCAACGTGCTTTCTTTTTGCTAGAGCATGGTAAAGCCTTAATTAAGATGTGGTTGCCTTGCTTCAAGATGTTTTAAGCTTCAGATGTGATATGATTTGATTAGTGTCTGCCTTTTACCCAGGCTTGCCAACGGCTTTGGCCATCAAGGACACCGTCCACACCTTGGCGCGCTACGCCTCCATTTGCCAGAGCGAGGGCTTAGTGCCAATTGTGGAGCCAGAAGCCTGGAGAAGCGAACGAAGCATTCGGGATCTTCCGGTCTCACGAGGTAAGTTCGGTCAGTGAAAAGGGCATGTTTGAACTTGAAGCATTGGGCAGATCCGTTCTAGTTTTAAAGTTTATGATGGATTCCTGTACGTTGCAAGTCGATGGGTTTTCACAAAGCACCCAATGATCTAAATAGTGTTCCTGTTGGATAGGGCCGAGGCCCTTTCACATCCTTCGACAAAGGCTGGCAAAGGGAAACAGAGTTTCACTCCGCAAGCCTTCTGATAAGGAAATTGTTCCCAATGGTGACCATGACATCTACTATTGCGCAGAGGTGACAGAGAAGGTCTTGGCAGCGCAGTTCAGGGCATTGGCAGCTCACCACGTCTACTTGGAGGGTGCTGTCCTGAAGCCCAACATGGTCAAGAATGGCTTGGGGGGACCCAAAGCAAGTGCCGAGACCATTGCAACCCTGACCTGCCAAACTTTGCTGCGCACAGTTCCTCCTTCCATGCCAGGCATATTTTTCTTATCCGGTGAGACAGCATTGAATGAAGACAATGAAGAAGAAGCAACCATCAATTTGAGCACCATGAACAGTCTTTTTGCCGGCAAGCTGCCTTGGCATTTGTCATTCTCTTATGGCAAAGCTTTGCAGAAGACCTGTATTGTCACCTGGCTGGGCAAGACTGAGAACAAGGATGCCGCGCAAAAGGCCCTGAAGGCACGAGCCAACGCGAACTCTGACGCCGTTTTTGGCAAATACAAGCCAGGCAGCTGCGCTAGTGTTGGCACTGACGGCAATGTGATGCAGGCAGCAGGGCCTTACTGAAAATGCATCCGTGTTGTTTCTGTGCTTATGTTAAGGCTTCCGTGTGTTTCACCGCTGGGCGAATGGACCTTGCTGGTTGCCATGCATGAAATTGGCTTTTTGAAGGGTGTGCCTGAGAAGAACATCATGGCCTGCCTAAAGCCTTGAGGGGTTGATGCGTCCTACCAGATCAGGGTTGAGAGCGAAGCAGACCTTCGGTAGCCCTGTGAGACGCGGCTTTGAGGTTAGTTGGTTGTGTTGACTTCAGATTGATCTGATCAAACGCCCAGTCAAAACAAAAGGGAAGGACTTGTGAGTGACTTGAGCATTCTATTTGCCACGACATCCAATAGGAGGTGGTTCTTTCTTCAAGAAGATTCTTTCTGGATGGTTTATCCGAAGTCAGCAGTCGCCCGTGTCTTCAATGAAGTGTGATGTCCTTTACTGTATAGACATGTGTAGAATAGATAGATTGTAAAGGACCTTGACCTTGCTGAAAAAAGCAGTGCAGACTTGAGCTGCCTATTTTGCTTTAGTCCTGTAGGCCTACCGACTTTGGTATTTGTACGGCAATGAGTTGCACCCGAAGCCCTTTCCGGGCTTCTCGCAGGGGTTTCATCTATACCAACTGTCACGGAGAGGACTGTGCAGATATGTCAAATGTATTTGCCGTGTGCAGAATGTCAATGCGCCCCCCAAAGAGACCTGCATAGACCGGCTGTACCACATCAAACATCATCAAAGACGGAAGATTTTGGCGGATTCTGGTTGAGCGACTTTTCGATTTCAGAGCTCTGTTGGCTTAAGGGGACGCGGAGCGTGGGAAGGACCGAGCCCCTCGTTTGCGCTCGCACTGACGACTCGTCCCATGTGCAGCAGACGAGTCTTCAATCTCGGGTCCGAGCGGAAGTCCGGTGTTCATCTATTGAGTGCACAAGTCATGACCCCTTACAGCACGAGTCTCACAAGCATTTATTGGCCGCCAGTCGCCAGGTATTTTGTTCGACGCGCTTTTGCTTTCTTGCTGCAGTGAAAACCTTGCAGGCTTTCTTCGCAATCCATGTGGTCAGGTCTGTAGGGGTTCTCGGCATAGGTATCAAGAAGAAAATAAAAAGAGCATCAAAAAAAAAACAGGATCAACATAAAAAGAAAAAGCGAATCAAAAAAAACATATTCCTTGATAGGCCTCTTGTGCTGCTCTCCTGGCCTTGTGGTCTGCGGGTCCTTTGGTAATGTGGTCCCTTGGTCCTTTGGTCCCTTGGTCCTTTGGTCCACTGGTCCTTTGGTCCCCTGGTCCCTTGGTCCTTTAGTCCACTGGTCCGCTAGTCCTCCGGTCTGCTGGTCCTCTGGTCCTGTGGTCCGCTGGTCCCCTGGTATCCTAGTCCTTCTGTCTCCTGGTCCGCTGGTCTTTTGCTCTCCTACGGCGCTCGTCTGTCGATCTCCTGGTCCCTGCTTGCGCAAATATATAGAGGCTTGATTGCTTTCTACTAGAGGCAGCTCCCTGGGAAGAAAGTAGGTACCCAACGATAAGGTAGCCGTCCAGTCATTGAGTAGCCCTACTCGAAAAATGGTTCACCAACCATCCTCAGTGGGCTAGAATATTACTTTTTTGATTACTTTTTTTTAAAATTGATCCCCGTTGAATAGTTTTTTTTGATTCTATTTTTATTTCTATTTTGATCCCTTACCCGGGGTTCTCGCCGTCCAGAGGGTCTGCGTCCAGTCAGGGCCAGGTCCCTCAAAAATGCTTCGTCCTGATCGCATTGGACCAAATCCATACCGCAGGACCTCAGCACCTCCGTCTGAAGAACATCCCAGTGTTTTGCTCGTGCAGACGCCAGCGTCGCGCGGTGCACCGGCCTCGTTGGGTCGAATCGTGCAGCGATGGACTGTGCTTCGGATCCAAACGCAGCCCATCACAGAGAACAAGTGGATCGTCAACAGTTCAACTGAGAAGTGTGTGCATGGTTTGCCCCCTTACAAGGGTGCAGATGGAACGGTTAGACTAGCCAGTATGTACATGCTGCTCATTGGAACTGTTGTGCCTTATGCCTTTGTGAATGTGTACAAGCAGAAGCTGAAGCAGGTGAACTTGGATATGGCCTGGTTTTGGCAAAGCGTTTGGCAGGTTGTACGGGATTTGATCTTCATCCCGGCATCCTGGAGACCTGGCCCTCACCCTCACCCAGCGGCAAGAACGAGGCTTCGCCGGCTTCGCCTTGAACTTGTCGGAATCGTGGACCTGCTTCATGAGAATCATTCCAACACCCCAAATCAAATTTTGTTCTGCAGAGCCAGCGTAGGCTTGGTTTCTTGCGTATCTCCTCTTCAATGTGCTTTTTAACCTCTGTCAGTATGATGCGGCTCATTAAGTGCATGTCAAGCATTTGGGCAGCGATTGGCGCAGTTTTGTGCGGCAAGCTGGGTGGCATTTTCAGCCAATTAAGATCTTTGATGGGAAGTCTGCGCAGATGATATTGATGGAGCAGGGGATGGCCTTGATTTTATCGTCTATAGCACTGTGGGTCTACAACGTAGAGGACGACAAGAGCCACGCTTGAGCTTCCAGGCAAGCAGACATTTCAGAGACATGTCCAATTCACTGTGCAACATGAATCTGATCTCACAATATCTTACGTAATTATACTACTGTATTAATACTATATTATGTATTACAATATTCAGTATTAACATCAATTATCGAAAGGCACAAATGCGCAAGGAGGTGCAGCCTTTTTCAGGTCAGGTGTCATTCCTTCTTCAAGAACATTGAGTGCATGACAACCACAGGGTCAAATCCTGTAAGATCACACTTCCACAGGTCGTTGCATTTCACACTTCGGTGTTAGCAGCCTGGGCCCTGGAATGTGAACAGTGGACAACGAGACGTAAATGACACCTGCCAAACCTGCCTTTCCAGTTGCGATGTATGACGGTGAGAAGAGAGGCTCAAAGCAGGAAGCTCACAGGCGAAGACGGCAAACAACAGGGTGAGGACCATGTGAAAGCGTCCCATTTCCATGATCAATGTGTGATTGATCCATTACGCTGCCACTTGAACATCAAACACACACACTAGGCACTTTTTCTATCTTCCTTTCGCAGCTCTCGAGCCGCTATGGATACGGTGTCAGAGGCCTTCAATCGGTTCGACAAGGATGGTTCAGGCTCCATCTCCCGCGACGAATTGGCCGAGGCCGCTCCATCGGGCGTGCGGCCATGTGGGGCCCGAGGGGTGGGTGGGTCGGAGCGGCGGTCGGAGCGGTTTCTTCGACCAACTGGGTGGGTCGACCGGGCTGCGTTCGTGGTGAATCTTCGGTTGAAAGATGTTGAAAGTCTTGGAGTCCATGTGGATAGGCCTGAAGTTTGCTATTGTAGAAGTGTCCATGGCGAAGAAGAAGACAACACGCTCGACATTTCACTCCTGAAAATGTGGTTGATAGTCATTTGGGCGGGCTGTTTTTGTTTTTGCAGAACATTAATGAACATGAGATCTATAGTCTTTTTTTTCCCTTCGTAGTGCTGTAGTGCTGACTTGTTGAGAGGGCATCCAAGGTTTTCGGCTGCCTCCACTCCAAGTGCGGTCAAGTTTGAACATCCATGTCTGCAAAATCATGGCCTCGTGAGAACTTCCGCGTCCGCAACCAACAGCTTCAGAAGCAAGTGCACACCATCGCTCACCATACACTACCCAGCATGCTTCCTTCAAGCCAATCCAAGACCTTCCCATTGCCATCACAGAGCCTCTTTGATGTTTCCTGTTCAGAGAGAATTAGAGCAAAGATGGTGCCACAGTGAGGGCTTTCTCGTCCGGAGAACCCAGTGTCTCCACGTATCAATTGGAACTGTCACTTTAGACATGTAGCTGCGCTTGGACTGCTTCAAGCTTAACCTATTCTCCCTTCATTGACTTCTCAAGAGATGGCCGCTCATTGTCCTCATTTAAGCAAGGGGGTAAGTTAAAGCTAAAAAGTTACCCTGTTCTTGAACCATCTAATTTGTATCCCGTTCAATTGCGTGTAGCTGTCAACTTTGTTATCATTATTTTTTTTAAACATGTTTCAGGTCTGGCAGGCTTGGGTGAACATGTATTCATTACTGCCATAGGTTTGAACCAACGAATGTTTTGGCTCAAGTGACTTGGCCAAAATAGCGTTTGTTCTCTCTTTTTGAGGGCGGAACCCTTGGAGAGACAGTTCTTTTTTTTGTGCAGGGAGGGACCCTGTTTTCCCATGAGCGAGTTGGGAACAAGCCTTGCTGCCTACACCAGGTACCAGGTGATCCATGCCGCCGCGTGGATGGAGTTCAGCGCTCACCTTCAGGAGCTGGTTGCTGAGGGGCGTGAGCGGGAAGCTTTGCGCCTCTGGGCCTCCGTGGTGGAGTTGGTGCATCTGGGGTCTCCAGGGCAACCCCTCTCCATCGCTGGGTTCCCCCCGGTTCGTCGGTTCGTATGTACCACCATTCCGTGTGCAAGGTGCACCGACCGTCGGGGCGGCTTCCAGTTCCCATGGGTGGGCGTATGGAACCGCCGCTGCTTGCTGGTTCAAGAGGGACTTGGGCCAGCGGTCGCGTGGCAGCGTTACCATGCCTCTGCGGCGCGCTTGGACCGCCTGGCGCTGCAGTGGATTGCCTTTGACCTGGGCCCGTTGGACATCTTGCCGGTCCACGTTGGTTTGGCCGTGGAGCGGCTGGACGACGGGGACGATGGCATCGACACCGAGGAGTTCTTCGAGCTGGTTCGGCTTTGGCAGCAGGGGAGGCGGCCATGGCGGGAACCATGGTCGTCCCTGGTTGGGACCCCAGGTATTCCCCGTGAAGTCGCGAATGCAGGCCGATCCATCCGTGCAATCCTGGGGGCCGTGGCCTATGACGTTGAGTACATCCCCCCCCTCTGCCTCCTTTGTCGCCTGCCCACGTTCGAGTCCTGTCGAGTCTGTCGATCGATCGTTTGTGAGAGCTGCAACTTCTGGTCACGGCAGTGCCCGTTGTGCATCGACAGTTCTGGCTCAGACTAGTGCGATAGGCCTTGCAGGGCTCATGGCTGACAGGGGGCGCTATGCGGTCGAGTCAGCGGGGAGCTCCAGGTGGGACCCGGAGACCTCGTCTGAAGTGGCCCAAGCCGCCCGTGTTCGCGAGTTCAGGGAGCAATACCACCTCTTGGACGACGCGGACTTCGCCTTTGCCTTTCGGTCAGCGGAAGAGGCCTTGTTGGCCGGGGGCCGGGGATTGGCCGATGCTTGGACCAAGGCCCGCTCCGAGCAGACTGAGGAGCTGATGCCGTTGGCGGCCTCTACAGTGGAAGCTGGCTCGAGTCGCGACAGGCCGGCACATGCTCTTCACCTACCCGCTCCTCCAGTGCCTGTTCGGAAGGGAGTGACCCTTTCTCAACAAGCTTTCAGTGCTGACAGTGTGAACAGGCGAGTGGAAGCGCTAGCCAAGGTGTTTGAGGACGCCGGGATTCATCGCCCTTCCGTGGGGAACCTCTCAGATGCGATCCTAGCTGAGTGGAAACTGCAACTCACTCGATTGGCGCAGGTCAAAGTGACCAAATCGGAACCTCAGACAGTGGTGAACGCTGTGCGCACGTGGTCGGAATTGGTCAGCTTTATGCGTTCTCGAGATAGGACTACGATAGAGCATTTGGATTTGGCGTCATTCCTGGCCTCCGGCCCCAAAGGACCCAAGCGGGCATTGAACTCGCTTCGCTGGTTGAATAAACTGGGGCATTTGGGGTGGCAGTTGGATGCGATCGTGCTGGATCCACCTGCCTCACGGCGGGCAGCTGCGCGATCCCAGGCTCTCGTTGTCGAGCCGCCCATGCTCACCCACTTGGAGCGTGGCATCAAGGAAGCCTTCACCCGACAGGACCCTCGCTGGACTGCGATGCTGGGAAGTTGGATCGTTGGCGTAGGGGTACTACGCTACCGGCATGTCCAACGCGCTCAGATGGTGCGATTGTCCCGCTCAACGATGTACTGCCATTGCCCCAAAGGGAAGCAGGCGAGCAAACGTGATGGCTTTGACTTCTCCATCCCTTCGCAGTTCACAGATGGCTGGCCCTGGGCAGAGCATGTGGTGGCCCTTCGGAACCAGTTGCCCGAGGCCCAACGAGATGAAGGCGGCCTCTGCTTCAATCGGGAGGGCCGCGCGTGGGACATCTCTGAGGTGCAAGCCGCAGGTCGTGAGCTGTTCCAGGACCTTGTGACCGACGTGGCCGACCTCTCCACCTACTCGTGGCGCCGGCTCATGCCCACGGTGGCGTTGCTGGCCAAGTACACCCCGGTTGAGATGGTGGCCTTGGCGGATTGGCAATCCAAGAGTGAGCTACCTCAGGAGGCCGCCATGCCGACACACTACGCAGGCAGCCGTGATCTCGTTAGCATGAGGCTCAAACATCTGTCGCTGGGACTTGTCGCCAGGTTGGGCGAATTTGATGCCTGGGAACTGGCAACTCCAGCCGCCATCACTGCCGCAGTGGACGCGGCCAAGCCCGAGGTGCAGCGGGCAGTGAGCCTCGACAAGCGCAGCTTGTGGGACAAGCCGATGTCGGTGGCAGCAGCGCAGCGCGCGTTCGCTTTCTCGCGAGAGCGTGCAGCGCTCACAAGAGCGGCGCAGGCCAGTTCCAAGCGCTCCGAAGCTGTGATGCCCCCTTCCATCAATGGCAAGGTGGTCACCCGTTTCCTGAGGAACGGCAAGGCGCTATGCCCCAACTTTCAGTTGGACGCCTGCCACGTGGGCGAGGGGACCTGTGGTGAAGCCCACCTTTGTGCCATCGTGCTGAAGACTGGCCGTGCCTGCGGAGGGAAGCATCCAGCTCAGGCTTGCTTGGCAAAGCGCTATGTGGTGGCCGAGGATGTCGAGCACACCCCTCTGGCGAACGTCGCAGTGCCCAGCACCGCAGAGCCAGTCGCTCTCCCCGTGGCCGACGCCCCTGAGGCACCACATCGATCATCATCGCCAGAGAGTACCTCCAGTGAAGATGAGTCCTCAGCAGGCCCTCGCTCCCCGAGCGCGTCCCCGAGTCCAGTCCCGGCTCCCAAGACCAAGAAGCTGCGCACCGTGCCACCCCCGGACACTGAAGCAGTACCCTCTCCAGCGCAGCCCGTGGCGCCCAAGGCAATGCCGCCCTCGGTGGCAGCGACAGCGGCGGCGCCCAAAGCCTCGGAGGTCATTCCACCATGGCGAGCAGCAGCAGCCGAAGCAACGGAGGCTCCCAGCGACATCTTCGAGATGCCCGAGCCCCCGGCCGCGTTCACACCCAAATGTGCACGACCAGCGGTGGGACCGCTTGGCCACCGTGCGGGGGAAGAGCGCGCAGGCGCCGACCAAAGTGCTGTCCGTCCA